TATCTTTGCCAAGAAAACCCCAAATGGGGTCATGAAGAGTTGAATACAACTGAAATGATACAATAGCAGAAACAACAAAAGATATAGGTAGACCGGTTATAAGCTACTGTAGTAGTCCAGGGGAGACTAGGCTGGTGGCTGGGTTGTGAGCACAAAGAACAGGTGGTATAAGAGATGTTGTGAAGGTAGAAATGACAAGATTTGGCAGTGCATTGGATAGGCGGTCTGAGAGACAGATAGAAGTTGAGGTTGCCACCAAGATTTCAAGCCTGGCTGATGGAGAGGATGGTGATGCTCTGGAGAGTAATAAAAAAATTGGAAGTGAGGAGAGTTTGGGAGGAAAGAAAATTGGTTCTGTTTTGGATGTGTAAGGTTTGAGATGCCTCAGGAATGGGAGGAGAGAGAGTGGGGAGGATGAGATCAAGGGCCGGGGTAAATGGGTTAAATCTGGAGAGCAGAAGGGCCACCTCTTCATCTGAGACCAGGGTGAAGGAGGACATAGGGAGAGAAGATGTCTGAATGATGTGAGATAAGGAAGACTCTCTCAGTGAATGGTTTCAAACGGAACTGGGAAGAAGGGATGCCCCGGGAGGTTTGAAGGGAGAAGAGGTGGGGGACAGCCATTGTGGAGAGTAAGACAGGACATTAATTAGGGAGGAAGAGAACCTTCGCCCTGTGGCAGCATAGGCTCGGTTAAGGTGGTTAATCTAAATGAGTGTCGGGTTAATTCAGATGGTTTCATGATTTCATCCTGCTCTCGTTAGCAGTGCAGGAATGGGAGAGGTGGATGAGATAGTGGGAACAATGTGGAGTCCTGTCTAGGCCTAGCACTGTGATTCCATGGTTCCAACATCACACACTTCTGTGAATGTAATTGAAAGGGCTGACCCCAGTGCCTTTCCTCCGAGGTCACTTGCCATCTCTGCTGTATGTTTCTGCTTTGTGCAGAGCTGTTTGCAAGTGGTCTTCCCCATCAGATTGTGAGCTCCTACAAGGCACGGGCTGGGGTTTTTGTTTGTTTGTTTGTTTTTGCCTCTGTATCCCCCGTGTGTAGCACAATATCTGGCACTTAATAAGCACTTAACAAGTGCTTGTTGATTGACTCCTGCCACATCCCTTCTCTCCCCACCCCCCATCCCCCCTCCTTAGAGGGTGATGAAGCTCTGAAAGTCTCTCTTCTAGTGAGAACAGCAGATATTGTACCGCAAGTCAAGTCAGCAAGTCAATTATTTATTAGTAAGCACTTACTACTACGTGCCAGGCACTGTGCTAAGCATTGGAAATACAAATACAGAAAGAAAGAAAGATAGTCCTTACCCTCAAGGAGATGAAATTCTAATGGAGGAAGACAACACATAAAAGAGAGATGAAAAAGGGGTGGGGGAATGAAGGGATGTGGGGGCAGCATGGTAGAGAAAATCTGGAGACTGCAGTCCAACCTGGAGAGAAATGAAGATGTATTTGGCATGGACTTCTTCAAAATGGAGGTTCCAGGAGAACCAGCCAGTCAGAAGGAGAGGCCTCAGGGGCTGAGAGTTCTTCCAGTGGGAGAAGCCCAGGAGTGGAAGGAGCTTTCGGAGTAAAGAGGTTTCTATTATATGATAGAGAAAGGCCTGTGGGCATGAATTAGGAATGGAACCTAGAGACAAATGCATTTCCAAACTCTTACTACCTCTACCGGCAACCTACCATTATTCACATGAATGGAAGTGGCCAGCATCATGGATTATCCAAACCCAGATTATCTTTGACATCTGATTGCGTACATACATACATACATACATACATACACATATGTATGTATGTGAGATTTTTGGAAGCAGGATTGCTTTAGGGGACTGATAGTGAAATGAGTCTGTAATTCCTGAACCCATCTTATTTAGCACTGAATGAGCTTTTGGTGTTGGGAGTTAGGAAAGTGAA